AAATTTCAGAGAAAGGGCTTAAAATCAAAAATTTTAGGATCTTAGCCCTTCAAAATCAAAGGGCCCACTCTCAAAATGACGAAAAAGGTGGAAAACTTTCGAAATTTGAAAAACGCGAAGCCAAGCCAGTCAAAAGCTTTGGGGTCTTAACGCTTCAAACTCCTGCGCCCCAATCTCAAAACGGCGACAAAATTATTGGAAAATTTTCGAAATTTGAAAAACGCGAAGCCAAGGCATTGAATTTCGGGGGCAAGGGCTTAAAGTCAAAAGCTTTGGGGTCTTAGGGCTTCAAACTCACGGGATTCACTCCCAAAACGACGAAAAACGTGGAAAATTATCGAAATTGGAAAAACGCGAAGCCAGGAGAGTTTTGGGATCTTAGCCCTTGACTTCAAACGCACGAGATCCAATCCCAAAACGATGGCAAAACGTGGAAAATTCTCGAAATTTGAAAACGCATATCGCTTACGTCTTTGCCTTGCTTAGTTTCTTATTTTGGGGAGGGGGGGATCCTAGTGGGAGGGATGTTGTCGGACGCTCCAAGCTAGTACTCATACCCCAGCACGACAGAAACCATGTAAGCAGTACCATCTGGAAGAGGGACATAATTGTCAGATCGGTCCACACCCATCTCGACCATACATCGAACGCTAGCATTCCGTTCCCAATCGTCAAAAAAGTAGCGCCAATGCTGAGAACTGCGTACTCCATTTCGCCAGCGCCTTTCTCTCTTTTTTAGAAAGAATTCCTTGATAGTCAATTCTGCTTTGTGTGCTGTCATCTGTGATGATAAATCTTCACTGGTAATGAAGAACTTCTACTTGTTGGTGGCTATCCCTATGTTCAAACTGAAGTGAAATTAGCACTAGCTTCTTCTCACAGACAGATGAACTTCTTGCTTTCCTTCCAATTATATCGGCTGTGCAGAATCCGCAGAAGGAGAATAAGACAAGCACCTCCACCACCTATCTATCGTTGATTCGTTTTCTGCTTTGCAAGGTCACTCTATTCACACAAATCATGAATTGGTACCGCATTTTGATTTTCTCATTATTGATTTAATTTTTGACTCTTTTACTTGTACTTCGCCGTATATGAATTGCAATGGACTTCATAACTTTGCGCAGAAGTACTTGCCGCTCCGTCTATTCTTAGGAGATGCAATTGTCAAATAGATGTGGTCGCGTCGTGTGGCAGCGGTGCTTCTCAAGTAGATAACATGTTCATCCTCCACTAATATCATCAAGGAACTTCCATCTTCATTCTATAGTTTCTGTAGCGTGCTATACAAAAAATAAATATGGTGTCGTGATCACGTCGGAGTATAGCCTTTTTATGTGTTTCGTGGTACTGCTCTCCATGGGCCGACATTGGGTCAACATTCAAATTTATAGGCTTGAGGGCGTACTACAGCTCTTACTCGCAAACAATTTCAAGGTATTGACGTTGACACTCTCTTGATGATCTTGAAGTTGACCTTGATGATGTAGTCTCCTCCATCATATCATGTAAATATCTCAGCAGGAGCAGTATGAATACTGAATCTATATGGCAACATACTGCAACAGGTCAGAAGCAATGACGTATCCTTACTCATAACGATTCGCCTTCATTGATGGCTACGGCACCCCAAAATATGCTAGGAGAATCTTCACCAAACGACATTGGTTCAACTTGTTTCCCGTCTTCGAGCATGTGGCCCAGCTGCGAAACTATTTTGGAGTCTGGCGAACTAGGCACAAGTGCTGACGCCATTACTGATGGGAGGGCTTGCGTCCCGTCTTCGAGCATGTGGCCCAGCTGCGAAACTATTCTGGAGTCTGGCGAACTAGACACAAGTGCTGACGCCATTACTGATGGTGGGGCTTGCGTCCCGTCTTCGAGCATGTGGCCCAGCTGCGAAACTATTTTGGAGTCTGGCGAAATGAGCTCGGAATCTCCCACGCCTGACTGAAGTGCAGAGGATCCGACACCATTATCCAGTCGCTCGATCTCCCTCATTTCGCTGCCGTCTTAGGGATTTCCGTTTGCCCCTACGGTCGCAGTTAGTTACTGATACAACCCACCAGGCAAGCAAAAGATCTGAGGAGAAGTTCGTGATGATTTGCAGTTTTCCTGCATATAATGACCTATGATGTTTATCCTACGTACTTGAGGTTAAGGAAATCATGGAACATATACATAAGTATGCTCTGCTTTATACTACTGATAGGTCAATTTGCAATCCATAACGGCTGGGAAACAAAAAAGTCCTCATCCCACTTGAGAAATAAGGGATTGGACATTATATAAAAATGCGATGCATTAGATATAGAATGAGGGTCCATTAGTTGTAACCCTTAAGTGCCAGGCTGTTTTGCAGAGAACATGTGGCCCAGCGCCGAAAGCATTCGCTTATCCTCCGCCTCACCATTATCAGGATCATTCTCGTCCCCCGTGTTTTTTTCTTTACCACTTTTAGCCTTGGCCTTCTTCACCATCGTCCTCCAGTGGTCGTGAGAACAAGGACGATCTATATTCTGTTATTATTAGTAGAAAGAATAAGAATCAATATGGTGAACGACGATCAATTCACCTATTTAATGTTGTTACCTTTAATACTTTTCATTCTTTCAACTATACGCGATGCAGCATTCGCGTTCTTCTGCTGCTTCCTCGATACGACTTCTACTTGGTTCTACTTGGTTGATGTTACGCAACACGATGAAAGAGCTGTGAACTGCATACTAGTAGTAGGAGCAGTAGTTAGCCCCTTCATGTGGCACAGTGTCCAAGTGCAACGGTTCGACGGGGGGGGGTGATCTACCTTGACAAAAAAACACGAGTTCATGGGCGAGACACTGTCACATTCTTCATCACAGTGGATAAAATGAAGAACTTGTCACATCGACATCAGGCGTTAGTACTGTAAGTACATCAAGTCAACGTCATCACAGATACCACTTCCTCTTCCTGTGTCTACAGTAAGAAGATATTTTACAACCGTGGCAAATAGGAGTGCATCTATATTGTTGTCGAAATTGATGGGACAGACGCAAACGCATCGGGGGTCGTATGGGTATGATACGGTGTGTTGGCGAAGAGTCGAATATTTGAGTGTACGAAATGATTGTGCGTCGCAGGTGGTCACGTCTACCGCGAGAACAGACATCACTACCAGCAGTGGGCCATACCAGTGGCGGACCGAGCACGATCTTAACTAACAGATTCCTTACGGCTAGGCGCTTCCGCACTAGAGTGATTATGATATAATGTTGTCCTTAATACCAAAATTGTGTTTGTGGCACAAAAGATCGAAGATACGGAGAGCAAAACAACCGATATCAAAGTTGATTTGGGGAAGCCGACCGATGGTAAAAAACCGATGGTGACAGTTAATAGCCTCGAGCTCTCTAGAAGACTTCATCTACGGTTTCACTTTAGATGGATACAACTAGTTGTGCTAGATCTTCTAGGATTAGGATACGGATTCAGTTCGCCGTCCACAGTTTTACCTGCATACTCGAGCGGATTAATGCAGCCGTAGAAGGACTACGATGTTTTAATCAAAGCTCAACTACAATGTTCGGATCTATCATGCCCTGTACTCCCCGCTAGGCTACATGACCGATAGATGCGCTACACAAGAACGCAGAACAGATGCGGCAGCATCGACTAATCAACTATTATTCCCAACCTACTCATTTTCCATCTTATCAATTGACGTATCCGATTCAGGCAGCTCATATTTCGAACTCAGTTCCAAGACCGTCATTATTCCCTCTTTATTCATAAGCGACAAAAATCGGGGTCCGTGGTCACTCAGGGTTTTAAGGCGAAGCAAGGGGAATCTCAAGGGGGGCGGAAACAAAGGCCAAGATTCCCAGGGTTTTAAGGCGGAAGCCAGGGAGTCGCAGGGCTCGCCGCTAGCCGCAAAGTCTCAAGGCTTTGGACCCGTGCCAGGGTTTTGAATCTCACGGTTGGCGAAAAAGGGCACAAATGTCAAGGTTTGGCTGCCAGGGTTGCAAACGCGTGAACGGGTCTCAGGGTTTTGCGTGTCAGGGTTTTGGAGACGCTCGCAGGCCACCCTGCGCGGCAATGTCAGGGTTTGGCGCCTCAGAGTTCGAATGTCAGAGTTTGGGAAGTCAGCGGTTCCAGCGAGTCAAGGGCTCCCACTCAGTGTCAGCGCTGTAAGGTTCGCTGTCAGAGTCACGCGGGTCAATGGCAGCGCCTGCCGCCTCTTGGTGCTGAACGTCAGCGGCCTCCTTGCCGGCTCATGCCCTCAGTGGCTGACAGAGGCGACGCCTGCCGCGCAGCCGTTAACGGCTTCACCTTCAAACGTGTCCGCCGTGCGCGTTTCGGCCGGGTAATGTCTCCGACGAACGCGCGACTCCAAGGCAAGCACCGACCGCGAGGTTTCGAACGTTGTTCGGAGTTCGTAGAAGAGCTCGGGATCAGTGCCGGTTGGATACGTTTGCGCGTGGCCTCGCCTGTCGGTGTCAGGGTTTGGCGCCTCAAGGTTCGACCGTCAGGGTTTGGCGCCTCGGAGTTCGGAAGGTCAGAGTTTTGGGCGTCAGCGTTTGGGATGGGAGGCGTTTGCAAGTGGCCGGGCCTGTCAATGTCAGGGCTTGCCGCCTCAGCGTTCGAATGTCAGGGCTTGGCGCCTCAGAGTTCGGAAGGGCAGAGTTTCGAATGTCAGGGTTTGGCTGCTACTAGCAGCTTCTCGCCCCTCATTTTTTCCTCGTCCTCCCCTCTCTCAACCACCGCTGAACACACGGGACACGACTAGTAAAAGTAACTCTACTTAAGACTTATCATTTCGCTCTTGTCTCGTGATTTATCAACTTGGAGCCCTTCCTCTTTCTTTCATCTTCAGTACTACGTCGTTGTCCCTCGGATCGTTATCGACGACGACGCAAAAGAAGAAAGCCGTCACTCGTTCATCCAAATTATATATACTTCATTTTGCTCCTATTGCGGCGAACACTCTTCAACCAAGGACACACTACTGACACCCTTACGGCTCTACACCTCGCTCAGAAGGTCTACTTTTAACGAGGCATCAACAAATCAGCAGCAATCTCGTCACAAATCACTACGCTTAGCATATTCATTCTAACGAGGAAACCACCCAACAACCACAGGCAATCGTTGACTTATCACGTGCACAGCATTTCTCTACTTTCTACCTGCTGCGCCCTTCGCGCTACGCACTGATTTACTTTTTTTCGATACAGCTTTTGCTTTCTTCTTTCTCGCACCTTTCTTCTTCATAACACGTTTCGCCTTCTCCTTCTTCGTCTTCTTTTCCGGCCTACTCGCACCGGGAGGCGCGCCCGCCTTGCCGATAGGCTTCGCCATCGTGTTAACTTCGTACTTCCTGACATATTCGGATAATGCTGATCCAAGTGCTTCGCCTTCTAAGTCCGTGATGCCCGGCACCATCATCTCAGCCCTTGCCTTCAGCGCAACGTTCTTCGCAAGAAGCTGCAGCTTCTTCCTCCGCTCCTCATCTACATTGTCAGGGAAATCACCACGGTGCTCCTTGCGCCATTCCTCCCATGACAGGCTGGTCTCCTTATACTTGACTTGACGCATCCAATTCCAAACTCCTTCCCCACGACCGAACTCACGCAAGGTCATGCAGAGACCAAACTCAGCAGCCTTTCAAGCTGCCAAGCCTTTCTCTTGGTTCTGCTTTGCCGCCTCGTCTAACCAAAACCTGTAGTGGCTCGCGGGGAACCCATGGCGCCTGTATGTTGACATGTGCTGGTCTTCATCCTCAGCAGCTTTCTCGTCGGAATGAAAGGCGATACGAAGATGCTTTTTAAAGCGCTTGATCCTCCTCGTGTTCGTAGGCGCTTCTTTGTTGAGGAGTAGCTTCTTCGGCAGCTTCAATTTCTTCGGCTGAAACGTTCTGCGCGGTCGAATCGACTGGGAAGTACGACTCTTCCATCTGCTGGGGTCAGCTAATTTCCCAGGAGGCTTGCAGGGTGCAGGCAGCTCGTCCTTTTTCCTGGCAGGACGCGGTGTCTTCATCTCATCACTGGTGCTGGAGTGAATCTTCAACAACAGAAAGACACCGACTCGACCAACAGCATCACCAGTAGCATCATCATCATAGTCACCATCCACGAGCAGGATAGGATACATAGGAACGGACGTGACTCGCCGTCCACTGAGGGAACCTGTAGTCTAGCAAAATCGTCGACCACATGAAGCTTTTTTCACCCAAGCGATGAAGCACAGTGCTAGGGTCCGAAAAACGAGCCATCGTCTCGAGGACGAGAGTGCGAGTGATAACTCACGCGTAGGTATGAACACCCTGCTTAACATTATATCAGGAAGTCCTACGAGAGATTCAAATACATAGTGACGATTGACATAGGTCAGAATAGATACCCTCGACGAGTGAGGCTGTTGTAGTTGTTCGTGTATTTGCCTTCAGATTTGGTTTTAAGCTTCGATCTACTCAGTTTGCGTTTTGATTATTTTAGCCATACTCCTTGTTCTGAAGATTATATAGTTACAGTTAGTAGTTGTGATGTTCCACTTCCAATTTTTTTATAACCTACCACCAAAATACTCAAATTGCTTACGCAAATCCAAAAAGTCCAACTCCAAGAATATTTTTCACCGACAATGTCAATGAAGAATTATGACCTACAGATTAGGTCGTGATTCCTTCGCGACTATAAGATCGGATCCGACTACGCCGCGCCTAGCTCTAGTGCATAGCGAATTTGAGGAACCAAACAATTATATACCTTTCGCATAGATTTTTTTACGTTGACGTTGGTGACTCCAAGTATGATATACATTAACGCTGCGCCCTTTCTATTCGAATTCAATACTACGAACTCCAATGAATATGCCTTGAGGTGGCGACCCATAAACGAATATTCTATTCTACAAGAAGATGAACATGAAGAACGATCACACGGGGGAGACAAGAAACGCCCAAAGAGGCCAAAGCAGATACTTATACAGGCGTTGACGACAGGAAGTAGTAGGTAATACATGATATGCTTTAACTTGTTTTCCGAACTGATTTTGAATCAATATTATGACGAAAGGACTAGACGGCGATTAGTATGAAGCCTCGAGCCAACAACCCTGGAAAATGAACAAAACGAGTACATAAATATAGAGGAAGAGTCAATAAATATGAATATTCTTATCTATCAATCACACAACATAGAACTATCGAGTTGACAGTACGAGAAAAAGTACATTATTCGTTATACATGATTTTCATGATATTCTTGATAATCTTGAGCATGAGGAGCACATGAGGTCTACGGTATTGCGTAGCCTACGGTTTTCGATCCCTTTCGCTCGTACGGCGCATTTGTGTCATATCCCAAGACCGTGAACGCTTCCACATCCACTCATTGAGATGAATGTCGATACAATATGGGGGAATGTCGTTCCCCTTCTACCGTGGTCTTAGGGCTAGGGTTCGGCTCTTCTTATCTTTTAGGTGGAACGACATTCCCGTTCCCCCTTTTGTTTGTTGTAGACCAATGAGTGCGAGTGGTATCATACAGACAGCATGTGCAGCTGAACCCGTATGCAATTTGGACAGCAAGGCTTTTCGTTCTACTTAGAAGAAGGCGGGGCGAGGGTTTCTCTAAAAATAATCTACTTCATCGTGTCTTCTAGAAGATGTTTACTTATCTATCCGGTTCTTGATTGCCTCCGGCTCATCCACCTCGTAGAAGTGGAGTGCTTGAATGTTCAATATCATGACGGAGATTTTGGAGCATACACCAGAATACTTGCGAAGTTTTCGTCGATCGCATGGCATGGAGTACATGGATCGCATGGAGTTGCACGGAGCTAAAGGGGACGCCTCGCTCTTGCGTCCCTTATGGATCTGAGCTCCATTCACTCAATGGCAAATCCATGCACCACGCACATGCTACAAACTATTCTGATTAATCATACACCTAGCGACCTCCCCAAAAATATGGATCATCGCTGAAGGATATGAGGACAACCACAGAAAAAAAGAACAGGAATAAAATGAGCCCCGAGGAGGTACACTACTGCTGCAAGACGATGGATATAGATTATGTACTAGGACGAATATGGTATTTCCTTAACTTTCATCTCTGGCCGCAGTCCACTGTTTCCAATAGCCTATTGCTGCACCTACGAAACACATCATCGCAGGGAAAACATGCAAAAAAAGGTTAGCCCAAAACCTGTTGGTGGAGATTGTGGATGTGGTAGATTCGCTGACATTTCCCTGCTGCGTGAGTGAGTGAGTGAATGAGTGAGTGAGTGAGTGAGTGAATGAGTGAGTGAGTGAATGTGCCTAGCGCGAGGTGGTGCAAGTTGTGTTTCGATAATTAATGTCAACATGAAAATGGAATACAACTCTTAGAAGTATAATCAATAGATACACTATAATATTAATAGCAGTATGCACTACTTGAGGTAAGGTCAACTTCGGCTGGAATAAAGTTCCTGTCCTAGTACAACTTCTATGAGGTCTTCACTACACGACGACGACACTTGCGCAAGGTACAACTTCTGCTAGGTCTGAGGTCTCGAAAAGAATACTCATGTAGATGTTTTACCGTCCCCAAAAAGAGCAAGCGTCCTCTGGATGCTGATCGAGAGTGAGATCACCGTAAGTAATGGCAACTGAGTGCAGGAAGGCCCATAGGGAAAATGCTAATGCGATATCATTAGAAGATCGCACATTTTTATGAAACGCTGACGCTGTTAGTGTTATGAAAGAGAAGGACGATAGAATTCAACTAAGTACGATCTCAAAAGTGGAAGAGATTCGCAGTTGATATCACTTGTTTTCCTCCTACCTTGCTTGTCGTTACACGTTTCCATCAAGATCAAGTATCCGCATGCTGACGACTCAGACTTTGTTACTCAGCCTCAGCCCTCAGGCTACAACGAACTTAACTTCTACTTCTGACGTTTTCGTTTTATCCGCAAAAAAGATTTATAGATAAAATTGATTAACTTTTGTCATAAAGAAGATCCAGACTGCATCTCTTGGAGATCCCCCGAAAAATCGTTTGGGCGTGCTGCAACAACAACCACTGACCACGCAACACGACAATACGACGATTGTTTTCAGTATCTGCGTAGTTGTTGCAAAAAGCAAAGTAAGAGTAAAGATCAGCAAGAAGCACTGAGTCGCAACTCAAGATACAAGAACATATCTTGCGAAACATCAGGAATGAATCGGGATCCGGTTCTTCCAACGTCGAATTCTTAATCAAATAAAAGCCTGAAGAATGAATCAGCCATAGGCGAATTGCATGTCTCAGAAGTATTCCAAATATGCTCCGGCACATGCTAACGACTTTAACAAGCTAGCAGTAGCTGTAGCACTTGTTCTCAGTGCCAATATTAGCGTTAGTCTTGATACCCCACGACAGCACGACAGCAATCGTGTAAGAAGTACCATGTGGAGGAGAGACATGATTGTCAGAGCGGTCCACACCGACCTCGAGTATACATCGAACGCTAGCAGTCCATTCCCCATCGTCAGGAAAATGGATCCAGTGATGAGCATGACGGACTCCATTCCGCCAGCTCTGCCTTTCCCTCTTTTTTAGCGTCAGAAAGGAAGAATGTACCTAGTTACCTACCTACCTGCCTACTTCGAGTATCTGAACACGTTCACCTTCTCGGCAACGTCGGCACCACAACAGAGTGATACAACGCACGATCACCCGGAGTTTAGTGGCGGTTACGGTAGCCCAACATAACTCGTTTCCTCGACGACATTTGTGGTCAAACCTTCTGCGATTATCTCTTCGTCACGCATTCCAACAGGCTCGGCCTCATCCTCGTCGACGCCTTCGGTTTCATTCGGGACGGTCGAATGGTACCTACCGAGTGTTAGATCGTCTTCCACGGTTGAGGGAACCGAAAGGACCGTCGTATTCTCTATGGGTCCAACAATGCGTTTTGCCGACTTTTTTCGACCCTTCGCAGCCTTCGAACGTGAAGCCGCACCTGGGCTTTCAGCGACACCAGCAGCGTCGTCGTCGTTCGGTTCTGGCTTGATGGAAGACGTCAACCCGCTAATCGCAGAAGCGCCAGCGTAGGCACTGAGTGTTAATTCGTCTTGCACGGTCGAAGAAACCGAAAGGGCGATGTCATTTTCTGTCGGTCCAACAATGTTTTTTGGCGTCTTTATTTTTCGGCCCTTCGCAGCCTTCGACCGTGAAGCCGCACCTGGGCTTTCAGCGACACCAGCAGCGTCGTCGTCGTTCGGTTCTGGCTTGATGGAAGACGTCAACCCGCTAATCGCAGAAGCGCCAGCGT